CGTGCGTGCGTGTGTGCGTGCGTGCGTGCGTGCGTGCGTGCGTAGGTGTGTGTGTGTGTGTGTGTGTGTGTGTGTGTGTGTGTGTATTATTTCTGTTTTTTTACATGATTTCTCTAAAATGAACCGTAATGGAAAATGGAGGAAAAGAATAAAATTTAAATTTTTCAGCATTTTCGTTGGCAATGAGTGTATATAGAAAAATGTTTTGAGTTAGATGTATGTAGAAAATGTATATATTAACTTAACCTCTAAATATTTACAGACGTGCTGCAATAGATTGTACAAAATAACCAAAAAAAGTCATGTGTTGGACACATGCGTCTTTACTCGACGAAAGCTAGACAAAATCTACCTAATAATACACAGGAATTAACATATAAGATAAAAAGCATTGACATAGGATATGATAAGAATAATAAAATAATATGTTTAACTGTCAGCTGTATGTGCCCACGTAACTAACGAACAGTTTTTATGGATTTAACTTGTTAGTATCAAATGAAGAGAACGACGATAATGCACGACAATAAACCAAGAGTATTTGTTTTAAACATCCATTAATATCTAACGACGATTACTAACGATGTCGTATGATCACAATAAACAAAAAGTATTTATTTAATATTTATTTTTAATAAAAGATTTAACTTGCTAATATTCAACAAAGACAATGCCGATGTTTAAAAAAGACGTACGATAAAAATAATTTATTAAAATAGATTGAACGGTGTAGTGGATGTGACACCATCGAGCTTTATCATCAGCTGTGTTTATATAATATAATGAATTTTTTAAATGCCTAATTAGTTAAGACAATGTGTGTTATTTAATGGTTCCTCTGAGTGCTGGATCAATTCCAGGTCCAGCTTCTTTTCATAAATAATTTACAGTGTTTTTAAAATTATAGAGATTGAATTAAAGTTAATAAAATGGCCTATCACTATATTGAATATGGTGAATGACAGCATCCATTAGACAACCTAAGTAAACATGTTTTAAACCACAACTTTAAATGTATAAATATTGCAATATTGCAAGTCCGTTTTAAGAAATGAATTTAATAATTACCTGTCTTAATGAAAATAGGTATTTTTAATTTTTAAATACAACTTACTTCTATGTATTCTATTATTTGTGCTGCGCAATTTCCGAAAACTTTCATCATAATCATTTAGTTCATATTTTATATTTGTAATTGAAAGTGTGTTCTTACCGTATCAACTAATAGTTCTTCAGTATGGACAGGATTCAGAGAGTTCCAGTTATATGTTTTTATTGAAGCCGTTACATTGGATATATCTACCAAACTATCAGATACAATATAAATTTCAAGAACCCGTTCGTTGTTGATATGTCCCGTTATAATATTGGGTGCAAAAAATTCTTTAACGTAATATTGCAGCATCTTCCAATTACCAGCGAAATCTAAAAAGATAAAATATTAGATCAGTTTTTTTTAAAAACACAGATCCAGTTTTGAAGACTGGATGATCTGGAAAATTTCCAGGTAAAGAATAACAATATTTTTTTGAGGTAAACGAATAAACATGATAATTAAAAAGCTATGGAAGATTTTAAAAGAAGGGTATAAAATCTAGTTATTTCTGGTTAAAAAAATAGACAGTCGCCTTTTAGACAGTTTCTCGAAAAGAGAACTCCAACAGAAGGAGCGTTGCATCTATAGGCCAAGCCTAACACGTTCCTTGTAAACCTGTATTTAACCCTTAAACAACGACGTGGGGTCTTTTTGGGACCCCAGTACTATATTTTTTAGTCTCCAGTTGAATAATAGCCAATGAAGTATGAAGTATGAAGTCAATTTTCATTATTATTATTATTAATTAATTCTGGTTATTAATTTCGATTTTCAATTAATTTCAACTTCATGGGTAGGCCCTGTATATCATCCATATTACCACGGTTCGAAAGCTTCGAGATGCTCTATCTGCGCGCGCGACCATGGTGGGGTTTTCTGATGTGGAAGGCCATACGACGGCTGAACCAGGTTCGATATTGAATTAAAAATTTCACTTGCTTTTACACCGTCAAATTGAATAGTCAATTAAACGATATATACGATTCCGAAATTTATTTCACGCCGCGAATTTACCGAAAGGTAAAGTTTGTTGTCATTTTTTTTTATAATTTCTTTCTTGTCCGAGTCTTTAAGCCGTGCTATTTGAAACCGATTTAATTTGATTTAGAGTGAGGGTAGCCATATGTGAGTAGTAGGGATTAAGTGTAAAGGTTAAAGAAAAGGTCCTTTATTTCTCACAAGTCAATTTATTGGCGACCGGTTTCGAAGGTGTGCCTGATGATGAAGTGACAACTTCGAAACCGGTCGCCAATAAATTGACTTGTGAGAAATAAAGGACCTTTTCTTTAACCTTTACACTTAATTTGATTTATTTTTAAATAACAATATTCCGTGTTAAGTTAGGAATTGGAATTTGTTTTGATTGAGAAATACTTTAATGTATTCTTGTTAGAATACACCGTTCATTATAAATTTTATTTCAGTTTATTTAAAGTCTTAACCATTACACAATTTATTTTTTTTATTCAATCGTAGATATAGTCGTATAGTTAATTTTTCCTACTACTGGAAATTTCCGCGAATAAATAATAAATTTCATTTTAGTTTATTTAAAGTCTTAACCATTAAACAATTTATTTTTTTTTTTCATTCGATCGTAGATATAGTCGTATAGTTAATTTTTCCTACTACTGGAAATTTCCGCGAATAATTAATAAATTTCATTTTAGTTTATTTAAAGTCTTAACCGTTAAACAATTTATTTTTTTTTTCTTTCGATCGTAGATATAGTCGTATAGATAATAAATTTCATTTTAGTTTATTTAAAGTTCTAACTGTTAAATAATTTATTTTGCATTTGACTGTAAATATAGTCGTATAGTTAATTTTTCCTACTACTGGAAATTTATGTGAATAAATTAATAATTTCATTTTAGTTTATTTCAAGGCTTAACCGTTAAATAATTTATTTTTCATTTAATCGCAAATATAGTCCTATAGTTAATTTTTCCTACTGCGGGAAATTTCCGTGAACAAATAATACAGTTTATTAAAAACATTATCCAATAAATAATTGGAACTGTTTGGGAATTGTTTAATGTTTTGATTGGTTATATTTGTAGCATTGCGACGAGGCATTTTCTTTTGTTTTATCCTCCAAACTGCAAATTTTAAGAGAATTTAAATAGCATCATTCCCAGTTTGAAGCGGCTCGTGATTACGATCGCTTCATCTAGAGATAAGGTGTTATCCCGGCTATTAGTTCATTTTATATCTAAAAATTCATTTGCGTAAGTCTCCGTTATTTCAACAGAACTAAAATAGTATAATTCCCCTGTCTGAAGCGGCTTGTGATTACGATCGTCTCATTCAGAGATAATGTGCTATCCCGGTTATTAGTTTATTTTCCGTCTGAAACCCTCATTTGCGTTAGTCTCCGTTATTGTAAGTGAATTCAAATAGTATCATTCCCCTGCCTGAAGCGGCTCGTGATTACGATTGCCTCATTCAGAGATAATGTGCTATCCCGGTTATTAAATTTATTTTATGTAAAACTCCGTTATTTAATTGACATTAAATAGTATCATTCCCCAGTTTGAAGCGGCTCGTGATTTCGATCGCTTTACTCAGAGATAATGTACTATCCCGGTTGTTAGTGAGTACTAGTGAGTAAACCTCTTATAGGGTCCCGGTTTCAGCCCTGGAATAACTATTGTCCCGAACCTGTCTCCTCGCATTCTCTGCAACCGCATATGATATTTTGCTTTACTGAAGCATTCAATTACATTTGATTGTAAATACCGATTAGACAATTTAACAGTTAATTTTTGCTACGACCGAAATAATACTTCCGAATGAAATAGCAAATTGCATTTTTAACTCAACAACAGAATAGACAATTCAATAATAAACTTTTACTGCGACCGTGATAATTACAAGTATTGATTTCATTTTTTTTTCTTTACGGCCGATTGAGACTACTCGAAAGTCATTTCCGTACGTTTTGTTTGTTTATTTTTGTTCAGGGTTTGTACATATTACCGTGAGGGTGGGCATTGAAATACATTAATTTATTCCTTTTCGTTTGTAAATATTTTAAAACTATATATGTATTAATGTTAACTGGCCGTATTACTGGTTGTTTATTCCTAAATTTATTTCCCCCTTATATTTCAGCTAGTGATTAATTCTGTACCAGCCCAAGCAACGATTAAAGCCCGTTACTTGTGGCCTACTATTTCCTGTGTCTAAGTGACCTTTGACCCCTGGAATTTTTCATATCCATCTGTAGCTACCTGAGTACTTTCGACGCCGTTTCGAAAGTTCGTGGAGTAAACCATCACCAAAAAGCTGGCGCTCGAGAACCGCTCGTAACCAGCGTCATTCGTAAGGAATCGTTTTCTCTGTGGCGAGAAAATCCCTTACATATCCATGAAATCTCATATAGCTAAGTTTTTAGTTTTTGACACAACGTCTAATAACTTCCACCAAGTTTTTATAATTAACATTTATGAAAACTGCATTTTGATCAGTGTGGTCCTCGGAGGACCCCACGTAGTATTTTACGTGACAAATTTTGAAATATATTCGAATGGTTCTAAAAGATACAAGACTAGTTTTCGAGTGACCTTGGTATATTTCTTGGATGGTTCTATTATTAGCTGGCACTGCTGGCCGCCCGGCGCGGTGGTCAGTCTGAAGTAATCAGAGCTAGTAGACGGTTGTTCATTTATGTGCCTGTTGTTTCGTGCTCTTTATTGAGGAAAGTAACTGTACTAACAGTTTTACCAAAAACATTTTATCCGCTAAGAGTGCAAAAATGTCCAAACGTTATCGAAAAGACTTAACCCAAGACGAGCTTAAGGAAATAGGAGCTAATATAAATTCGAATGACTATGAAAGTGATGATCAAAGAAGGAAAGTGAAATTCATGGTGACGATTGAGATCCCGATTTTGTGTTAGAAGAGGACAGTTCATCAGAAATTGAAGACCATATTGAAGTAGGTGTTGAGGAGAACGAAGAAGAGCTGGCCGAAGATACGTTAGTAAATAATGAAGTTAGAGAAGAGACGGAAGGGGAACTTATAAAGGAGGATGTTAGAAGAAGCAATAAAACGTATACTGCAAAATCTGGACGTGTATGGACCTGTGATGCTCCTCTACCATCTCGACTTTCTTCGAGAAATATTGTTACTACTAAACCAATGAAATATTTGAGATTTTCAACATTTTCTTGACTTATGACATGAAGGCAAGTATCTGTGAACATACCAACCAAGAAGCAACTCGTATATACCGAAATTACAATTAAAAAAATCCGGAGAAACGGAAGTCATGGAAAGACATTGCTATTATAGAACCAGATGCATTTATTGGAGTTTTGATTACAGCAGGAGCTCTACGTTGTCGGAAAGAGAACGTTGCAGAAATGTGGAGTACAGAAGAATCTATTCGTCGTAACATATTCATAGCCTCAATGCCTCATGACAGGTTTACTCAGGTAAGCAGTTTTATCCGATTTGATGATAAAACGACAAGACCAGAAAGGCGAGAAACAGACAAGCTAGCTGCATATGGGAAATTTTTGTCACGAATTGTAAACACGTAACTGTCGATGAACAGCTGGTAGTTTTTAGAGGGAAGTGCCCATTCAAACAGTATATGAGCTCAAAGCCTGCAAAGTATGGGGTTAAGATTTGGGCACTAGTAGACGTGGAGACAACATACCTACATAATTTGAAAATTTACACAGGCAAGCAAAAAATGATGTGGTCCATAAAGGACCCCACGTAGTACTTTACGTAATAAAATTAAACGTCGTTGTTTAAGGGTTAATATAGTAGCTTCGTGAGCTAACCATATTGTCGTCTAGTTTCCTTTCACGTTGGTCCGATGGAAGCACCAGAGATGTTGCCTCAAGAAGCCGCGTTGCGTTGGTCCGATCGGACCAACACGTATATTGCTTTAAGACGTAATGTAAATATATGTAAACACCTTTTTTATGATACGTATTAAAGGTCA